ATTGAGAGCAAGGCCTGGTCAGTCTGGTGGGTCCTACCATCCTGGGCTCTTGGGATTACTCAGAATGGAAAAGTTTTCGGAGATGGGCTCCGAAAAATGAGCAAGTGTTCCTGGGGGAAGGAAGGCGGGAGAGGGGGGTTGTGCTTGCAACATAGTATTGAATGCGGTAAAGAAATCCAATTTCGGTCTCTGGTGGAGGCCCAAACTGGGAAAGTCAAAACTCCAATAGACCCCTTTCTCTAAACCTGTCCAGTGGGTTCCTTTTAGGGCAACTCTACATCTCAGCTCTTGCTCAAGCAAGGAGAGACTACAGAAAAAGTAGGAGAAAGCCTGAGGAAGGCTAGCTAGGAAAAGGCAAGATGGAAGGCAAACAAACCAGCAGGAACTGCCTGGGGACAAGAAAAGCTTGAGGATGAACAAGAGAGTGGGGGTAGCTTGGTTGAACATTCACACTACTGATGCCATGGTGAGCCTTCCAAGAATTGCTGTTGGGGGGTGAGGGGATTCAGATTCCCTGAGTTAGGGATATCTGGCAGCTGCTGCCTCTGAAGCCAGATGTACAGCCAGAGAAGGCAGTAGCCTTTCAGCCTTTCCAGTTGATGTTAAGAAGCCCACCCAGAGTCTAGAAGTGCACCCCGTTGTCTGTTCTCCCTTGAAGTGGCACAGTGCTATGTAACCTAGCAAGGGACAGGGCTTCCAGCTCAGGCCTCCTGAATGACTGTGTTGGAAACAACCCTGACATAGTCACCTCGGTGACAAGGCCTTACATTGCCTTTCTGCAAAATGATCCTTCCAAAGCCGTAGACACTCTAGGCAGCTTCCCCCAGTGCTATTCCATTACTGCCCCATACACCTCCGACTGCAAGAAAAAGCAGGCTGAACAGAGGCACCTGGACACACTTTATTCTGATAATCTACTTTGGGAAGGAGGGTGGAGAGAAGGGTGCCTGAACCTCCCTCCCTTCTTGATACATTTGAGCCTGACAGGAGGAAAACTGCAGCCACTGTGGATACCAATATACCCTCCACCCTTTCGGGACCGAAACAGAAGAAACCTGGAAAAGGCTTAGTTTGTTTTGCTGATCAAATTTCCTTCTTAGCCTCTCGGCCCCACAAGCCTAACTCGTTGGCCACGTCCAAACGCTGGGCCTGGAGCCTTGGTCAAGCGCTAAGGGGGTTCTGCCTAGATCTTGAAGTTGGGAAAAACAAGAGGAGATTGAACCGGCTCCCCCCCTTCTTTACAGACACACACGCACCGTCAGGCCGCGGCCACTTCCTGCCTTTGTTTTTCTTCCTCCAAACATTTTTTTTTGGCCTCTTGCATTAGCCGCCGTAGGGCTCCGGGTTGACGATTAAAGGAAATAAACGTTGAAGAGTGTTTTCTAGAGACGGCCCGCGCTCTGTGTAGTTCTTGAGAAAGAACAGCTCCCGGGAAACCAATGTCCAGGGCCAATGTCATAGCCTTGCCCGAGCCGCCTCTTCTAAGAATGGAACTCGGACTTGGCCTTCCGGTGTGGTCTTATCCCTAGTCCGGTCTTTCCCAGAGCCTGGTTGGCTGAGATCAACCTTCGACCTCCTGCAAAGCCAAAGAGTCAGTTAGGCTCAGAGCTAAGTGAAAACCAAGGACCCGCAGAACCACCTCCCTTTCTTCCCCCAGATTGGGTCCGAACCTCAGAGCAGCTCCCGCCCTGTACGCTGAAGCCTGCCGGAAGAACATTCACTCTACCAGGTTTAAACAGGACAGGACCAGGCAAAACGGCTTCTATTGAGCATTCTCGGGGATTTGAGCATCCCATCTCTTGTCTCTGCTTAAAGAACTAACAGCAATCGGCAGCTCCAGAGCTCCAGGCCATTTCCCTTCTGTTGCCTTCAAAAGCCTTTTCCTCACCCATCTTCACCGCAGCGCCCCCACACGCTCCCTTCGAGGATGCAAATCCCTCCGGGTACCCCTCTTCTCTACAGCCTGTCGAGTTGCTTTGCCAACCACTCGTGGAGCACCTTCTTCGCCCACAGCCTTTCCTGCGGAATTTGTCTTGTCTTCTGCAGACGCCCATGGGATACCTACCTGCCGGCTCCCATTCAACTAGCCCTCGATGAGAATCTAGGGAGTACTGGCTGTGCGGGGCATTGCACAGTGCCACACCGACCTTTCTGCGGGTATCCCTTCTCCCTGTCATCCCGAGAAGTCGAGCTAATTATGAGAGAAAGCTGCCATGTAGTCAGGGGCGGCGGCCTTGCATCCCCCGCGGCTGGGCCACCTCGGCCCCACTGCTCAGGCACAAGCTGAAGTTGACTGCCAAAACTGCTATAAAACCGCAGGTCTGTCTAGAACTGTTTTCGGGTCTCCTAGACGCCCCCGGGTTCAATTATGGTCTTAAAAGCCCTAATACAAGTGCAAGAATTTGTTTGCCTTCACCCAGGGGCGGGGCGAGCCCTGCAGTGGTGGCGCCTTTGTTATGGCAAAGTCACTGAAACCCTTCATGCATTCCTTTTGTTCGAGGGTAGGGGTGGTGAGGACTGGGTGGGCTGCTGGGTGAAAGTTTGAGGTGGCAAAAATCAACCCAGGGAACGTCTCAAATACTACTGCTCTCAACCTGCCTCCCTTTTATATAGTCTCCAAAAAGATATCGTGAAGAGACAACTATTTTGCCTCCTTGGCGACTGCAGGAAATAGAAGTTTTTTGTTTTTTGTTTTTTGTTTTGCTGCAGGACCATCCTGTAGTTTCCATCCCCAGGTTTAGAAGAAGGCCTGAAGCTACCCTTCCTGCAACAACCTTTCTCCCTGCTAGATCTCCTCACTCACACCACTGCAGTCATCTATGAAGCCACCGTGGACAAATATGTCAAACTGAAGATGCACAAATAATTTTAAGTTCAGCTCTCAGGGATTCGAGGGGCATGAAAGTTCCTGCAGCAAATCCTGAATAAAGAGTTCATTAAACCAATGTGTCCGAGGAGCTTGATTTGTGATAAGCAACCCTTGTAAAGGGGGGAGGTGGGCTGGAGCCACATAAACATTAATGCTAATAAATTAGTTTACGCCACTACACAGTAATTACTTGATATTATTGATATTTACAGTGGGCATTCAAATGCAATGGTGGGTCATTATTTGGAGAAAATACATAATGAGAATAGTTCTTTTCCAGAGCAATACATGATTAAATTTGTTATTGAGTCAGTTACAGTCAGCTCAGCAATAAATAAATAAATCGATGTTGACACTTAAATACCAAAGATCTTAGCATTTATACTCTAAATCTCCCCAAGATATGTAAATACCGTTGGCTATTTCCTGGATGAGGAAAGGGAAAAGGGTTTTCATTTTTCACTTTTGACTTTTGTGACACCCTAGCTCCTTCTAAGGGAGTTGTGGGGAGCCCCCAGGTCTGGCCCCCTCCCTACTCTGGCCATGCCTAGCTGCCCTGTGCCCTCTTTTTTTCTTTCATTTTCCCCAAATACTTCTTCGGTCTTGCAGAATGGCAAGCATCATTTTGTCTTCTTAATCTCCGTCTCCTCTTCTGAAGAGAGCTAACTTCACCCTAACATTTATGGCATCTTGACTATTATCTATCTGTACAGAAAGCCTAGCCTTTTCAAGACATGTCTATGGGCCAAGGTGCAGGCAGCTAGAATACCTCTCTTTTCTTTGGCATTGTACTTCTCCTGTGGACTAAGTAGCAAAAATGATGGGAGCTGTCTGGATTTTTTTTTTTTCCTTGAATATCCTTTGCTTTCACTCTTAGGCGTTGCAAGGAAGAAGAGGCGGGTTACTCCTCTCTTAGTCAGGGCTTCTTACTCCCTCTTTGCCACCCTCCATTTCCCTCACAGCTCTGAAGAGCTGCAAGCAGCCTGGCGGGTCCCCCAAAGGTGCAGCATACCCAGGAGAAGGCTCCTCGGATGTCAGCGCCTCTAAACCAGCCCAGGGTTCGCCTCAATGGCATGGTTTCCCGATTCGTCAGCTTCAGCAGACCAGTGAGCAGCTTGCAGACCGGTGAGCAGAAGTGCTGTCCCAGTGCCTCTGGCTCTGCGGAGTCACTCCGAACCCCTACAGGCAGCGAGGAGAAGGGGGATCCTCCAAGGACAGGGCGTGGGGTAAGAAAGTAAGCAAAAAGATACAGGGAAGGTGGAACCCGGGTAAGGCGAAGGCCCTTCCAGACCGCGCGGATTATTGACAAACCGCGGAGGAAAGCTGCTCTGCCTGTTGGCGGTTTGGGGACGGAAGGCACTAAAGCGCTTCGGAAGTGACCATGAATGAGAGCGTGTAATCAAGTCACCGTGCAAATCGGACAAGCCACGAGGCCGGCACATCCACGGTTGCGAAGCCTGGCCCCAAATGGGGTCCAGCCAGGGTCTGAGGCTGAGGTGTTTCCCAGAGCAAGCCTGTGGGGGGTGGGGAAAACTGCGAAGAAGGAGATGGCGAACTGTAAGCCTTCGGATAACAGACTGGAGACCTGGAGCCACACAGTTCCGGGCTTTCACCTGGCCATCCCCAGCCCAGAGCATCCCTCACCCACCGGGGAGTGGGGAGAGGCGTCGGGAGTTGCGCTCTCTCACCGCCCTCAGCGCATTCGTGGACCAGGACCAGGTAGCTGAGCAAAGGAGAGCTGCTTGGGGGCGCACCGCAGCCTTTCTGCGCGCGGGGAGGCCCCCCAGCCAACATGAGTTACACCGGCGATTACGTGCTTTCGGTGAGAACACCGAGTGACGATCTGTTGCTTCCCCTGAGGTGGCTACAAAGAAAGGAAGCCGGGGAGGGAGGGGAGGGGGTAAAAAGGAAAGGGAGGGGGGTTTAAAAAAAAAAAAAAGCCGGGACTAGCTCGCAGCTTGTCAATTTCAACATCGGGTCACATGACCAGCACCTCCCTGCTAAGGATGGGGATAGATTTCCACGTCAGCTTACGTCTCCAAATTTCTACTTCACGGATCCGCTTCAAAGAGGCAGCTGCAGTGGAGAATCATGTTGAGCTCGGCTACTGCGGAGAGCCCAAGGTAGCCCAATGATGGATTTTGATGAGCGTGGTCCCTGCTCCTCTAACATGTATTTGCCAAGTTGTACTTACTACGTCTCGGGTCCAGATTTCTCCAGCCTCCCTTCTTTTTTGCCCCAGACCCCGTCTTCGCGCCCAATGACATACTCCTACTCCTCCAACCTGCCCCAGGTCCAACCC